CGTACACCACGCTTGGGGGGGGGGGGGGGGGGGGGGAAGGTCTGGTCCTTTGGTCTCCCTTGCCTGGTATGTGTGAGTCAACTATACAACTGATTGATCTACTTGGTATTTCTTTTTTGTTGTTAGCCCTGTCAGATAATAACAACCTTGATAGTTTACTGGACAGTGAATTAATGCCACTGATTCCAATGGTTCATTGTATTTTGTCATCTTAGCATACAATCAAGGAGTTTGACTTTGGATTAGCAAAATTTCCATGTTCAATTTAGGGTAGGGTGTTAAATGTATGCAAAGGAAATTACAGAGGCGAAATAAGAAATAAATACCAGGGCGGTTTGGTACAAGTTCTTCCCAAATCCCCACAACACCAATTTCTGGTATGAGAATCTCACACCCATTGATCACAACAACATTCAGAAAAGATTGGGAGCAGCAGAAAAATAACACTGGTGTGTCTGTCTTCCTTGCATATCAAAAGTAATTTAATTTTTTTTTTTTCAATTTTTTTTTTCTGATATCATACGTTCCAGTTTCTTTTACTGTACAATCAGAAAATACTGAATTCACCTCACACTGCAAACACTTTGATTTGATCTAACATAAAGCTCTCTATTTACAAAAATAGGTTTAAAATCACACAGATGTACTGATCTAAAGCTGGGAAATGACAGGATTATAAGATCAGGGTTGTTTTTAGTTAACATGTTTAAAGTCCTGCTTTGTACAGAAAGGATTCTCTGTCCATGCTACGCTAAATAATCTATAAAAAAAAAGGAAACTGCATTGTCTGAATTAGCTGAAATGTGCTTTATATTTTCCACCCTGGATTAATAATCCCTTCGACTGGGAAAGATTTTAGGGGCATTTGTTTTTGTAGAACGTCACAGAAGTATTTACTCAGAAAGCAGTAATAAACAAACTGAACCCATAAAAAAGATCAGGCTGTCAAACAACATTTACTACTAAGATCTCCTCCTTCAGTTGTAATGAGCTGCATTTGGAGGCTAATGATCTGTTGTATAATAAAGATGGCTCTCCGGCATTATCCCCCACACTGGAGGTGAAATCCTCTTACATCAAGGAAGAAGATAGGATAAGACCTAAGTCTGGACAAGGAGGCAGAATAACTATCAAAGTCCCTGCTCTGGGCACAAAAACCACAGTGACAAAAAAACATGACTGACAACAGGCTACAACTATCTATACAAAACCTGTACACTGTCACTTCAGCCCAAACCTTGAAGGACGACTCACACAGGTATCAAATGACCAGGTATCAGTGGAACCTGAGCAGCACTTCTGCTTTCATTCATTACTCCTGTTTCTTTACATGCAGCGAAGTGCTCCAGAGTAATGCGATCGTTAAAGCCGTTATTTTGAAAATTGATCTCTTCATTTGAGTGAGACGCGGAAAAACCAGTACATCTCTGCGTGCAGTGAAACCTGCGTTCAAGATAATCCAAGACAAGGTGGGGATTGTAATCTGTGCGTGCTTTACCTGATATGCAGGTACAACAGGGCACAGATCTGTTTTAGGCATCAGTGTAGAGCAGCCACGGGGTCAAAAAGTGACTGGATATTTTCTTTCTCTTCCAATATAATGTAGGATTGGTCAATCATTGGATTAAGTTTTAATTCAAACCCAAACACTTTTATGACTGTCTACAGTATTTTTTTTTGCTAGTCAAAGAAGATAGTCTGTGGTCCAGCCAGTTAACTCATCCTAAAAATCACTTTTTTTTCAGAATACAGTAACATTCTTTTCATTGTGATATTCTTGCAGAATATTAATGTGTATCGATTTTCTGATCGTTTTCGACTTTAGCAGACATTATTATTATTTATTATTATTCATACCAACAACTGAAAATTGTGCATACTTTTGGTAGGGTCTTATGACTAACTCTGTTTTTAAGATCTTTGAGTCATACTGACTACAGACAGAGAAAAAGAAGAGAAGAAATACATATAATATTTTTAGTTTAAGGGTTTTTTCCACTCCTGCCTGGATACTCACAGGCACCAATATCTGTTTGCAGTGGCAGAGCAGCATAGCATCCTGTAGCATGTGGTCCGACACAGAGGGGAAGACGTTCCATCCTGCTGGCATGGAAGCCAGGTGGAGGTTTAATAGCCTTTTAAATTCATTCAGCGTCAATACAAAGTGCTTCCTGAAAGTCTTTGTCACAAATTCCTGCAGCTCGGATGATGGCGTAGTGCCGTTAGCGTGATCTGGCGGGCTGCCACTGGAGTATCCATTAACCGAACCGTTGGGAATGGAGGAAGACGTGTCCATAGCCTCCACATCTGTGTCCCCCATTAGCTCATGTTGAATGTGGCCACCGTTCCCTGCCTTTCTGGCATCCAGGTCCTTCTGCAAAGACGACTGGTTCTCCTGAGCTCGCTCTTGGGCCATCTTTAAACGCTGCTCTCCACTTACTTGGATGGGCTCTGGAAAAAACAGACATCAGTTACTGTTAAGACACCTGTCTGTTGCATAGCTGTATGTGCTGATGATGAGCAGTCACTACACACCAGGCTGAGGAGAGTTATTTGGCATAAAGTCTTCCTTAGAGAAATTAAAGACCTTCTCCAACCTTGATCAAATCAGAGCAGAGTTAGTTTGGTGTGTGACTATGATGTCCTGATGATTTCACACCTGGTTCTTCGACTTTAACCTACTTGCTCTGGATGCCAAGCCACAGCATGTGTTGCCTGTGAGCAATGTCTTGGTGTTTCTTAATGAAGTCTACATCAGTAGGCAACAGAAACTCCCAGCCCCGGTTAACCCGAGGTGTAGACACGTGCTCCAGGAACTCCTTCACATCCTCTGGAGGAAGCTGTGGAAGAGACCAAGGGAAGGATACGTATTTATTATGTCAGTGTGAATGAAGTGGATCAACTGCTGCCACCAGGGAAACGGGAACACAGCATTCAGAGTCAACACTGTTGAGATTTCAAAGAAGCGATGGAACCGAGCATTTCTCACATTGTTCTCTCTTACATTTTCATGTATTTAAAGGCTGCCCCATTTCTTCACTTTCCTTGGTCTTGGCAAAAACAACTTATAATCAAATTATTCTCTATTTGTGTTGATGAAAAAACTGACAGACAAGTTGGCCTCATCTGTCAATGACTAGAGGACATTTTTCAAATTCTCCATTTGTGGTAGCTAAGATCATATCCATACCTTGATTACTGATGCAATTTCCTTTCTCATAACCGATCGCTCCTGAGTGAATCTCCACAACTAAAGAATCCAGAAATGGTATCGAATAAGTTGTGAAACAAACTGGATTCTTTAATGCAATTTAGAACGTTTTCATATTTTAAAGTCTCTGCAACTCACCACAAAGTCTCTGCCACGACAGAGGACCTCAGCAGGGACACCACTGAGAGGACTGCAGGTGTTTTTAGGATACAGAACATCACTGAAAAAAAAAAGCAAAAAAGGAAATAAAACAAGCACTAAGGATATCACTTAGCTGCCTGGACACTGTTCCATGAATTAATTTTGGGTGAATTTTGCCTGATTGTGTTAAAAAAACAATTGCTGACACTCACCTCTTAACAACCCAGTTTCCCTGGACTAGTAGTGCCACCTGCTGGATGCAGCGCAGAACTGAGGTTGAGTCTGTGCCCGAGGCGAGAAGTCCCATGAGATTAGCAAAGGGCATCACCTTGACTGGAGAAGAGAAGTTCAGAGAAGGCGGTTCAGTCATCCATGGAAAACAAAGGCTGGTGAAAATCTCACAGCCATGAACATAAAAGGTATGTAAAAGTTAAAGAAATACTTGGAATTATTTTACCCTATTTCTTACCATTTTAACTTTCTTCTAAAACCATGAGCAGCATGAAATATATATAAAAAAAATATTGCAATGTGGAAAAATTCTAAAGAAAGGGAAACAAGTCACAAGATAATCAGTAGTTACCGTTCTTCATCAGGGTCTTGACTTGGTCTCCCAGTGGCAGCGTACGGAGCTGAGCCATGGACAACACATTACTGGGACCGACAGGCTTTACACTAACAAACAAAAGGTAATGAAGTTCACGTTTCTGAAAAAGAGGACCTGTCCATAACTAAAAATGTTCTCTTTAAATATTGAGAAATACGTACAACTTCTCCTCTGTGAGCGGTGGCATCAGCATGTCCAGGTACTCCCTGAGAAATGGAGTTACAGACACAGATGAGTAGGTGAGGATTAAAGCATCAGGAACCACAGAAGACCAAACAAAGTGGTATCAAAGGCAACACACTGTTTATATGTTATATGTTGTTATATGTTATTAAACATGTTATTATGTTGTTACATGTTGTTATGTTATTAAACATATTGTTATATGTTTATATGTTATATGTTAAAAAACATTACAGGTGATGCAAGAGCAAATAATTATTCCTTTTGTCATTTAAATAAAAAAATTACAAACAGCAACAATTATACACACACATTGCCATGACATGTATGTTACTCACTTGGGAGTTTTCACCAGCTCAGAGTTCTGAGAGGCGTCCACAGACTGACAGAAGAGATACTGCCTTTCATGCTCTGAGCGACTGTCCTAAATTTACCCAATAACAAAGACAAAATAAAAATTTAAATAAAGATGGCAACATATTGGGCCAGCTATAATCAACACAGCTCCCTGTTGAACAACATCATATTTGACCTTGTTACAACCACAAATGGTTCAAAGTTATAAGGATTATTAAAAAGGTTCAGTAATGAATACTCAATATCTGCTGATGGAAAAGTTTGCAACGTTTACTAGGTAAATAAAAAAAAAACTCTGTACCCTGGCCGCATGGTACTGCAGGTGAATCCAAGGCTCCTCTGCTTGTTTCTTCTGGAGGAACTCGTACGACTGAATCCTCCTCTGTCGAGCCTGTTCAGACTCGGGACGTGCAAATCTCACCTAGAATCAAACGTGAGAAGAAAAGTCACACATTTTGACAGGCTACACTTATTATATTCCCATTTGTGTATGCACAGGTTCTCACAGTGATGGCTTTGGCTTCCTCCTCAGCTTCATCCTGGGACGAGTCTCCACCTGGGCACAGAAGACATAAGAAGTCTAATACAAGTACTGCCAGAGCTGAACCTATAGCAGCAGGTGAACATAAATAAAATGTTATATTATATATTTTTTTATTTTATTTTTTTAAAACTAAACTGTTTTACTTATACAGCAAACACACTCACCTTCATTGGCTGCCTCCCTCTCCCTCGTTTTGTTGTCAGCCTTGTCCAGGTAAGAGAAGCTCGGTCTCATCTGCAGAATTCCAGTAAGAGGTGTGATGTGAAGTTCACCTGCAGATGTGAATCAATAATATTATCAGAGAAGTGTATGTTGTATTGTTTCCAGAAATAACACAGTGGATGATTGCTACTGTCTCAAATTAACTTGTCCTGTTGCGATCCAAAGGTTAAAATGTAGAGCATGACACAGATACTGTTTTGCTTGAACACATGAGTGACATTTGTATATTTACAAGCAGGAACACTAAAGTCAGGCCAAACAAAACACAGTGGTACTACAGAAATACTGCTTTCTGAACCAGACCTTTACGAAACACAGCAGCAGCATATCTGGATGTGTTGGTGGTGGCCTGGATTGAGGAGAAGGTCTGCTTGTCCATCAACTTCCTGCAGAAGAAAACATTAAAAATGGTTAAACAATCTGACTGAAGACAAGACACACAAAGATGAAGAGCTAAGCTGAAGGACGGGAGTATACATACGATGCATAGGTGTTGCTGTCATCGTAACCGGTGCCGTCAACATTGAAAGCTATTTGTTCTCCTTTGCTACGACAGTAGTTGGGACTTGTGGTATTCATGGCCATTTCCAACTCCACCTGCACAGAAATCCTAAACATGTCACAACCAACTTTTGACTCAATCATTTGTTCAATGATTCCATAAGGATTTTTGACAGCGAGACAAAAGCCAATCATACCCTTTGCTGCTTGGGTTTGATCTTGGCTGACAAGTGGTTGACATCATCATAGGACATAATGGAAGGTCGAACAGGATACTGTGTCACAAACATGATGGTGGTTAATGTTTCATGATGCTCGGCAGGTTTTAACTTAATCAGTTTGCAGAGTGAAGGTGTGAGATTAAATCAAGAACCTTCATGAACAGAGACTTTACCTGGAAAAGATAGAGTTTATCTGCAAGGCTTTTGGCAAGGTATACATCAATCTGAAAGAAGGAAGAGAAACGGTTCACACAACAAACAACTGCATGACACTAAAGGCTAATTTCATTCACTGACAGACAGAGGGTTTAATATTTGTTGTGTCAACTTTTTTTTCCCTTTGTTTTAATTGTTTGGTGAATTTGGGTTTGTTGTAATTCTGCATGTACAATTACAGAAACTATGTCACGCGTCACTTTCTATGTTAACAATAACTCAATGTAAACTACTTTGAACAAACACTTTATACCACCAGACTTTCAACTTGAAAGTACAGTCCTTTCATTTCACTTAATGAGGGGTTCCTACTAAAAATGTTATATCCATTTCCTTTCTTTGTTCAGCAGTTGCCGCACACTGAAGAGACAGACACCTTCCTTCCACTGCTGACCGTAGAACTATCCTATGGTGTATTACAAACCTCTTCTATAACCGGATCATCATCATCCCCGCTAGCCATATTGATGTCAGCAAACGAGGAGCGGAGATGCCAGAGATGTGCAAAGGGAGTGGCAGCTGATCCAGAAGATCCAATCTAGGTACAGAAAAACAGAATGACAAATATAAAGATTTTTTTCTGCAAGATTACAGCTGCCATTGCAGCTCCCAAATAGCTGGTCACAGAGGAAAAACAGGCGATGCAAGGGCAACAGCAATCCGACTGAGAGCAACAAAAATCCAGTATTTAGTCTGACTTTGATAAACCTTTAATTGAGTTGATTAAAGCACCCTGGACGTGTCTGTAGGTGATGCCATCCTATCCAAACACAGGTACAACTCAAATGATGTAACGCAGTGTAACACAGATGACCTGGCTGGTTGTGACTTCTACCTGATGCAATAAACACTGTCGACGGCCGATGTCAAAACATGTGTTGTCTTAAAACGTTAGTTGTTTATGTATGATTCGTCAGATTTACACCTGTTTCTGTTTACACTAGCTCTCACAACAAGCTAGCATCCAACCGCCGGTAACTTTTTACAGGCCTGTACAACAATCTAGGTTCCCAGGTAACTTCTTTATAAATATATCTTAATTTCTTTAGGGGATATAAAACTGAATGGAAAAATCAACTAATCTTTTCATGGAAGCCATTGTTAGCAGCAACGCTAACTCACTGGTTACAGAAGGCTGCAGAACCATTAGCCTAGCGTTAGCAATGCTAACCAGTCTCTGAGTCTTATTGTAATTTTAAAACAATGGCAAATCCGCTCTAAATCCGCACAAGTTACCCGCGTACCTGCTCACTTCGACGATATCTCGTTTTGGTCACCACATCCGTGTAAGAACTGTCCGGAAATGAAGTAGGCAGCAGGGGTCTAACGTCTTACTGTAGCTACCGCTGCTGAAGTCTGCTCGTGTGGTGTGAGTCTAACCATGTTGACTGTACGATCCACACAGACACGTGGGGAGGAGCCCAGGACCATGATGCAGAGCGGCTTCAAAATGCAAATTTTCTCTGTTCACTGTGGAATATTCTAACCGCTGGAAACCAAAAGTCAACAATTTTCCCACATAAATGTTTAGGGAGTAAAATTTAACAGCCACATAACGAAAAGGGTTATGGCAGCGGTGGGATTCGAACCCACGCCCCCGAAGAGACTGGAGCCTTAATCCAGCGCCTTAGACCGCTCGGCCACGCTACCGTTATGCGACCGCTTAGACATATCTTTTAATGAACAAGTTAGACGACTTGAAAATCCTTAGTGAGTTACTATGTGGGCTACTCTAAGGAAAAAAGCCGTGCTTTGCAGTTTAGGTGTATCTTTATTTTTAAATTCACAAACGAAACATGACCAGAAAGGTTCAGGTAATTTGTGTTGAATCCACAGAAATCCCCTTATAATATTAATCTTATTGACTGACTGTACTGGTATTCAGGAGATAATAGAACTTAGAATTGAACTTAAAAATAACAAATGACAACATTTTCCCCTGATAAACCACTCAAACTTTATTTTACAGTTTTATACTCCAACATTTTTAACACTCCATTTAATGAAGGTCTGTTAATGTCTGGGAGAAAAGTCGGTAAACAATGTCTTTGTTCAACTTTTTTTTTTCATTCAACAGTCACTTAGTCAGAAGGTAACCAGACATAGAAACTTTAAGAACACAGGAATTAGGATTCATTAAGGGGGAAGGGAAGAAAAGTGAACCTCATCCTGGAAGGCACACACACCAGCACCGATAGAAAAGCAACAATCAATAAAAAATATGTAAACCGTTAACCATCCAGGCTGTTTCCTGAATGTCTTGTCTGACTATTATTCAGACACATGAATGCGTGTCGCATTTTCCTGTGATGTAAATGTGTATCCAGATTTACTCTTCGTCCTCTCCCTCCTCCATTAACGCCCAGGCCTCTTCAGCTTTCATGTAGTACTGGTTGGCAAGTCTGCCCTTCATGGCTGCCATGGCGGCATCTGCTGCTTCTGTGAACAAGTCTCCTGTGGAGGGAAAAGAGAGGATGTGACCCTTGAGATGAAGGCTCCATAAAATGGCTTTGAGTTTAAGACGTGCTTTCAAGTGTCTGTATTTTTCATATAATGACTGGACTGACTGTTATGGAATATTTCTGTGGCTAGTGAAGTGGATGACGCCACTGTGAGGACGGACCTGCTTTCTGTGGGTCTGCTTTGAGGTTATATCCTCCCACTTGGAACATCTCTGCCTGTCTGGCCATCAGCAGATAACCAGGCTCATCATGCACCCCATCAAACTCTCCGCCCTCGTCATAGTCTGTCATTGTCACTGCACTCTCATACCAGTGGACTGCTTCCTGCCAGTCCTGCTTCCTGGTTTGTTTAAGATAAAAGACACAATTAAACAAACCATAACACAGTAGATAGTGTACGGAATGTAAATGCCACCAGGAGGCAGCATTACTCCAACCTTGTGGGACGAGTTTACTGACCTGTCAGCTGACAGATTGTCTCCTGTGTCATAAGCTCTGGCCACTATAATCATAGAAGATCTGTCACCAGCCTCGGCAGCCTGCAGAAGAAACTTGAATCCTTTCATTCTGTTTCCTGCATTATCCTGTCAACAAGACAAAATAAAGAAAAAATGAATATTTTCATACTCAGTACTACCTAAAGTCAGATTAAGAATATCATGAAATATTCAGATTGTGGTACCTCCAGATCCATGTCGGGCAGGATGTGATGAGGCAGCTGTAGGCAGCACAGTCCCAGAGTAATAATAGCCTCCAGCTCTCCACACAGAGCTGCCCTCTCCAGGTGGAACATGGCAGAGTCGTGGTCCCACTGCTCCTCCTTCTCACAGAAGCGTCCTGCTTCATGGTACCGTACCATCGCCAGATGGACCTGTGCAGAGGGAAGGCCTCTCAGATATATTTAAAGAGTCTTTTATCTGATAATTATTAATTCATATAATGAATTAATCACCTTTCCAAGAATTGACTGTCCGATTTTCTTCTGCAGCATTGAGCTGCTGAGTCGTTCCACCTCAGTGGCCACACACGATGATCGGTGAACATGAGCACGGGTCGAATGGTAGAAGCTCCACTTTTCTTCCGTGAGCTTAGCAAAAAAGGGAAACTGTTTTCTTCTGTTCTTTGACACATTGTCTAGAGAATCAATTCTGTGATGAGCAGGAAATCAAGCGCAATCTGATGGAAGATGCGTCTTTTTCAGGAGTGCGCCCATTGACAATAATCATCTTTTTTATTGTTTACTGAATGAGTGCACCCCTGTTTGTCATTCAGTGATTCCAAAATAATGGTAAATGTGTGAGCAGGAGTGCGTGTGCACACACACAAAGGATTATAGTGTTGAAACATTAGAAAGAATGAAAGGTGGTGAAACAGAGGCAGATGGTTCCAGATTCAAATTTCTGTGCATCTCAACATCAACATCATGCTTCACGTTTGCAGCAACAAGGTCCAATCTCACTGAGTCAGTATTTTTGTTCAAGACTTCATGCATTTAATCACCAAGTCATTGTCAGGAGTGCTTGAATAAAGGTTGGCAGACACTCTTGGAGGAGCAACCACCTTCCTCTGATGAAGGGAGACACCCGACAGAAGGAGGAGGAGGAGAGGGATCAGGAGGAGAATGGTTAAAATGAGAATGGTGAGAGATGAACATGATGAAACAGAGAAAGGAAGGCGTAGAAAGTTAGAGATTATGACTGAGGCGGAGGAGACGTTCAAACATTGACGGCTCGGTTTGTTTACCCGTCTGACACTGTCCTCATCTGACTCGGAATATTGTCTGTGGTGTCGATGATGGCCCTATGTGATGATACAACATGCATTACAAACCAACTGCCAGTTCTCTGACTGTAATGTCCAAGAGTAAGAAAGAGTAAAGAGAACAACGACAGAATTTTAGCTTGATAAAAAACGTTTTTCGCTAAAAATGTTTTACATATTAAACAGCAAAACAACCTTCGTTATTTTAAATGAAACTGAGAAAATAAAAATATAACTGAATTATTTTTTTGCAACGTAAATAAAATATATACACTTTCTATGGACATCAATATACTATGACATTTTTAAAAAGTTACGATGCATGTCAAAAACAAAACGCTTTATCAAAAATTGCCTCAATAAGAAAAGTGTTTACCCCTTCTAGGGGGTAATTTATGTCGCCCTCACTCCTCTTCTCACTGGGGCATCCACTGTCACTGCCACTCTCGTTTTCCTACAGACAAAATCATCACAAACCTCAGACAACTCCTGACAATTCACGACATGACATTAAAATTAACATATTCTATCCTATTCTAAACAGTGACTAACAAAATTAAAAAGCAAAAGAAAAAAATAAATGTTAAATAAATAATAAGCAGTAAATAGTAATTTTAAGTGGGTAATTATGTGTAAATGTGTACCACGTACCAAATACATTTTGTCAGCTGTATTCAATCAAATTGATCAGAAAAATCAAAAACTATTAAGAAGAAAAATATATAAAGATATATTTTTACATTTGTAACTGAAACAATATATCAATAGAATATATTTTAAATAATGCCTCTTGTTGTGTTTTGGGTGCTGAAGCCAGTGACCTCTGACCTTGCGCTCCCCTGTGTTGTTACTGTGCAGCCTCTCGTGTTCATTCATCCCAGTAAAACCTGCATTTAAACAAAGACATGGCTGCTCAGGATGTGATCTCCATACGTTTGCTGCACAAATCTCAGTGAGAAGAAAATGCATTTAAATTTCACCACCTGAAACCACAGGAGACCTGGTCATGGACCCATACGCAGCAAACGGTGAGGAGAGGGAGAGAGGGGAGCAAGGAGCCGAGTCCGCGTCGCTCATGTTCTCGTCTGCTGAAGAAGTCTCAGACATGCGGGTCAACAGTAGAGGAGCTCTGCTTCCTGACATGGTACGAACACGAGGAGAACCGCACTGCTCCTCACAACCTCTCAGAACCGTCTTCGCTGATTTCTGAAGTAAAACAAAGTTTATTTAAATACAGTATAACAAATAAAAACATAATTCCTGAGAAACATTTTCTGTTTATGAACAGTTTCATCTGTGAAGATTCAAATATTTAAACACTTGTTTAGAAGTCCTTAATCCTACCAGGAGTTTGTTGGTGCAGTCCAGCTGCACCTTCTCTGAAGGTGACAGGTCAAAGGGCATCAGGCCCATGCTCTTACAGATCCTATTACAGAGGTGAGAGTGGAAGAAAAGAGCCATGCCTCGCACTCCTGGAACACAGGAAACACAGGGAACTTCTTAAAGACAGATCAAATGGTTTGATCGTCTGTGTAACACTGTAAACAATAACAACAACAACAACAACAACAAACCTAGATTCCCATCTCCAAAGTCCGTCCCCAACTCTGTGTGAATCTGGGGGTCAGTGTAGAGGTCCCCAACTCCCTGAATGTCCACCACAATCAGCTGGTGTCCTGAACGCTCAAAGGTGAAATGACTAAAGGCCTGGATGGAGGGTTACAGAAAACATGGAATGAAAACATACAGAATAGCTACGCTGTACAGGAATAAAAATCCATGTGTGTCGCTGCTCACCTGTGGAGTGAGTCTAATGTTATCGTCCTTAACAAAGCCAGAGTTGGAGTTGTATTTGATGTACTTGCCCTCGATGTAGTGTTCCAGATGAAAGAGAGGTTTACCAGGTCTGTCAGTCATCTCCAACACACACATCTGCACGATGTCCACCTGAGGACCATACACAGACGTCACACGGACATCAACGAGGCTAATGGTGGGGTCTGTACTGATCTAATAAGAACGCTGGAACGCCACAGCCCTGTAAGAACCAGCAGGTTGTGCTGTTGTACCTGTTTCGGTGGCCTGTGCCTGTTATACTCCTCTCCCCAGAGTTTGGCCTCCATCTGCAGCCTGACGTCCTCAAAGTAAACGTCCCTGTCCACTGTTTCCATGTAACGCTTGGCCACATAGTTGGACGCTGACTTCCAGTTGCTGCTGTGTGAGAAGTTGGATAACTTCTTCCTGGGGAAAAGAGTTTGGACAAATAATACATTTAGTTTTGTTATATTTTACATTCACATTTGTGCAGTTATTTCTAAGCACAGTAAACATTTATCATGACCGTGTGACTATGCATTTTATTAAGGTTGGTCTATATGTCAATCAGTCCAAGTTGTTGGAGGCCACTGAGGTGACAGTGTGAAAACAGCTGCTCTATTAAAGCTTAACAGGGGCAGTAGTGGCTTAGTGGTTAAGGAAGTGGTTAAGGAAGGACCGGAAGGTTGCAGGTTTGAATCCACCAGCTGCCAAGTTACCACTGAGAGGCACCGTCCACACACACTGATCCCCGGGCACCCGGGTTAAATGCAGAGGTTTGTTGTGTGCAGTGGTGTGCTGTGTCACGATGACAACGAGTTAACTTTCCTTCCTTTCCTTAACAGAATACACACAGGTAGAATGTAACCACGTAGATTCCACATCCTCATCATTCAAACAACGACAGTCTATACAACTCAGTACAGACCATAAACCAGAGGAAACAGACCTGGGATCAGTCTGCAGTGACCCCGGGTCATAAACAACAGGGGAACCACACCATGAGCATTCCATTTAGCTCTACCATGACTGGACTTGTTCAGTGGGACACTACCCTCTCCAAGGGTTTTGTGGGAGATATCTTTTTTTATATTCCTAATGAGGGAGCTGTTGATAACTGCACATTTCCCACATAACTGAGGATTACACATCACCAACACACACTGTCTTCCCTTTATTCTGCAATGTCAAGCAGTATCTGATTCAAAAGTGGAGCTGGTCATGAGAAAGTCTGAAGAGCTCTAACACAGCTTTTGTACAGCTGGGTCACAGTCACATTCTCGTTACTATCTCTGGTTGGGAAAATGATGAATCCTTCAGCCACTATTCTCCTGAGTGAGTGCTTGAAATGTGAAGAATGTGGACCTGAATCGCTAATAGCTCCAGAATGGAAGACCAACCATTTACTACTCTGCTTTGTTTACACTTAGACAACACCCCCCGATGTATCTAGAACATAAGGGCAATAACCTCTGAAAGAGAATAAATGAGCGCAGGGGAAAAAATGTTTTGACTTACGTTCTGAAGCACTCTCTCATCGCTCCTTTACCGAAGGGCTGTAAGAAAACAGATGAGCATTTAGAGGCTCCATGATGTTTCACATGTGTACATGTTAGGACGTGTAGGTTAGTTCCATTTTTGGAATTGATCATTTTTTAACAAACAAAGTAACAACAAAGTCATTTTTAGCAATGTTGAATTATCTTTCAAATTCATTGAATTTTGTAGATAAAACAAGAGCAATACCTGTGTTGCCATCTTGATGTGGACCTGGTCCTGAGCCCATTCACCTTTGACGGCATTGTACCTAAAAGGAGGAGACAGTAAACAATGATGAGGATTAGTGAAACACTACCAAGAAAAGGTCTGGGTCCATTTAAACATACAGTTTCAGTTAACAGTTCCTCTGGATAATTTATCTATCAATTACACCTGATGACTGATGATGAATTATATTCAGCCCTACCTCTCTTTCTGTCTATTTGTAACTGTTGTAACTGAGGAGAACTGACTTAGGTTCATAATCAGCTCCATCTCTTGTGCAAACAGTCAAACCCTTTCCTGTATCTGTGTGCATTCCTACCCTTTCAATCAGCCTGCAACAGACATCAGACTACCCCATTTCCCCCTGTGACGTGGAAATTAATCTGTACCGTGTACAAGCTGTAGCTTGAAAATCAGATGCATGTGGGCATGTTCTGTTCCAAGATCTGATCGAATGCAGTCAGCTGATTAAAGTGCAGTCATCCAAGCACCAATCAGCTCTCGTTCGTGTTCCTTAGCAATAAATCAAAATACTCCTACTGTACCCCCTGCTGCAGTGAGGACCCACCACTACTTCTGCTGACGCCGTGTTTGTGTTTTTCACCTGTAAAAACATAAATCGCTCACACTGAGTTGGTCCTCTCTGTTTCTGCAACAACGCATTCATAAAAACAGGACACAAACTCTTCAGATTTATTAAAGCCAAGCTGCTCTCTGCCCTTCACAAGACTGTTTGTGAACAAGCTGTTATAAATCGTAATGTCCAACACGTCCATTTCTGTCTCTTAAAATAAACAATAACCAAAACACAAGTGCGTACTTTTAATAGAAACTTAAAAAAGCCAGTTTGTCCACATTCGTTTTGGATTCACAGGGGACGAGGAGCGTCAGGTGAGTCTATAAGAAGGGAGCATTAGCATGGGAGACTCACCACACACTGGGTCAGTAAGTCTGTTTGGCTAGGTGCCCTGGGTTAATGAATGATGCATGAACTGCAGCTGCAGCTGTGGAGTCCCCAATGAAAACAAATACAGACAACTTTACATGCACACTGGTCGAACAAATGAACTCCTTTTTAAACACTGCCCAGTGGACAGATATTGTTTTTGACCTAATGTTTCATGTCTTAAAGATCTTTCTTTCCACTCTTTCTACTGCTTATCTATTCAGGAAATCAGTCATGTAACTGAAAGATTTGTTTTTGAATTAGCATGACCTACACCGTGAAAGACAGGAGACGGTTGTGTGTGCTGGACATTGTCCACTCAGCCTCTGCAGACGTCAACCATGGTTAATATAAAACTCTTCTTACCCTGATTTTACTTCCTAAACTACTACTTGCTGAACATGTGATGTAATTTAGTGTTAGCTTTTAAACACGTCACTTCCACTGTAATGGCATTTAAAACTTGGCTGAGGGGGGTTTTACGTGTGGGAACATAATGTTCTCAGATTGCCATTCCATCCACTTCATACTACAGGGGGCATAAGAGAGGGACAGAGGGGTTAGGGTTACAGGTGGGTAAAAGTAGTACATAAAAAAAACACATGCTCCTGAAAATCCACGATTTCTCTGCAGTCTATAACTTATGGGATGTTACATAACTTGAGCCTAACTGGGTCATACACACAACGTGTGTATTCTTTATTATGATTTCTCCTGTAGCTGTTTCTGTTTCTATTAAATGATCTATCATACTGGCAGAAAAGAGCATAAAGATACTAATAATATATACTACTGATTTCTGTCTCATCTCATGTTAACTCGTTAACATTAACTCCGTCAAATGTAGTCAAACATGGAAATGAGCATGGAAAAACACTGCCAAATTGGTGTCAGAGTTTCCATACCTGTAGCGGACGCAGGGCTCAGTGGGGATTTCCTCCAGATGAAACTCCGCCCATGGGTCAGGCATGGCTTTGGCCTTTTCGATCGCATGTCTCCATGCATCCTGTTTAAAATACAAAAACTTCAATTAGAAATGACTTGAGTTTTGTTAATCCAATAAGTTAAGACTTTAGTACAAACTGCACTGAACAAAAAAAAAGAAATATAAATAATTTCAAAACCCAGTGCATGTGAACATTGGGGCAACTGACCACGTGCACTTTCTTGGGAGGGGTTATTAATCATGGCGCAAGTTAGTAGTAAACTAAATCTTCTCAGTAACACAAGTCCTGCCCTCCTCTGTGCAGAACTAAACTGCAGGCCTTCCTCGTACACCGGTCCATGTCCAGCAGGCGTTCCAGACATGTTTATATATAGAGCCTGGGATTCACATGAAGAGGAACACTGTATGAAAGGTCATGTTTTTAACAGATAGAGTGTCACGTCTCTTTGTGAGCAGGAGTGGGACCTCGGTTTTCACGTCAGACTTAACCTTTAATTAAAAAGTCGTAACCCAACAAATCAGACAGAATTAAATTGAAATGACACGTGTGTAACGTGTGTATGTTGTGCAGTTTGAAAAGTTTCTTGTTTTTATAGTAGTAGAAGGTAATCACATTGGGGAAAGGAGGAAATGTTGATTGGGATGCAAGAAAAAGAGTAGTGGTGGGTGAGGAAAGATGAAAACCATGATGCTACTGAATGAAAATAAAAAAACATTCCAAGACAGAAGGAAAAGGAAACAGCAAGCCATAAAGTACAGCAGGATGGAGGGAGGCATGGATGATCACTGGTGGAGAGGGAGAACAGAGATATAATTGAACCTGTAACATACCCGTGCGCTCTCAGATATAACCTTGTACGATCGTGGTTCGTCCACCGTTTCTGTTTCGTTCTATGTAAAGGAGTGAGGAGGGGAAAAAACTGCTTTAGATGTTTCACATGAGCAACAGCAAAGAAAACACACAGGGGCTCGAATACAGATGCTGTTCAAATAGAAAATAGAAAATGTCATGAGGTAAGGACCAGACTCTGACACTTCCTCCATCAGTCAGCGAACGTGATGGACCCACTTTCCACTTCCTCTATAAAGACGCATTTACATACTGTACAAAGGAGGAAGAAGAATAGCACCATCAAAAGAAACATTTGTCAAGTTTTTTTGTATTTATAAATCTTGACACCTTTGTTTTAAAACGTGTGTTCATTTGAGTCATGTTTGCCTTTGTCTTAACTCAGACCTTTATTAGGGTCTTTAGATTCTCATTTGGATTTCCTTAATTTTTCATCTCTCCGTTTTATCGTTCATGCTGTTACAAGTGACAGGTTCCTGTATGTCAAAAATAATTTATGCAAATGGCCTCAATAATTCCTCGACAAAAGCATATATGCTAGTCTGTATATTGCGCAAGAAGCTGCGTCACAAAAAAAGAACACAAAGAGCACTCCCTCGCAGTTTGCTTTAAATGGTAATGTGGTCGCAGCGGCTCACCCTGTAGACAAAGTTGCTCTTTGGAAGAGAGTTTGACAGCTGCCGGGTGTAAACCTGTTTCTTCAAGAAGTGGCATATTTCCCTGACTGGGTCACCAAGAATGGGACAGAGGATGCGGTCCTCATCGTCGTCATCATCACTGGCGTTGGCATCACTGAGAGAGGAGGTCCTCTGGCCTGGGCCTCTTTGTTGGGCAGGGGGTCTCTGGGCACTGCCCTCCTCATCCATGCTGAACATTAGCTCGTCGTCCATGCTGGCTGCTGTTTCTGTGAAGGAGACAGTTTTGTAGTAAACCTTTCATCCACCTATAATGTCATCCTGAGTTCTCTCCCCCAAAAATTCAACCCCCTTACTGGAAACAAGACCACAGTTTCATTCCAAAGGACACCCAGCCAAAAGTGTCGCTGAGGTGAAACTATTAGTCCATAGCTATAGTACCACTCCTCATTCACACCTCCAACCTGGTGACTTTACATTCTGCCCTCCTTAGAATAGGGTGGCTTTCACCACACCTCCATCCCACCTTTGTGCAACGACCCTTGTTACAGGTATGTAGCCCACTGAAGGCTAAATACCAGAACTCCCCAGTAGTCAGTCAGAACTGAAGAAGCCTCTTGGATGAGAGGTGACAACCATGATGGGACAGGAACACAGCAAGCTGTCACCTTGGCTGTACCAGCCTCTGTGCTGCTGTGTGCAAAGTTTGTTGACATCTTGGGCATCAGCATGCATCAACATCTGTTTATGATCAATTCTGAATGGAATAACAACATGTAAAACATGTCCAACTTATTACATCCGTGTTTTAGCTGCTAATGTAAAAGACATTTTTGAGTGACAGTTGTCTGGTTCAGATCAGAGGAATTAGAAACATAAACACAACACACAGCGTTGCTAATCGTCCGCTGACTCTGAGTGAAGCCATGCAGGCTCACATAAAAGCATCATGCAGTAGCACGATGAAACCCCATATCAACATCTAAGCATGAACTCACTTTATTTTGGCACGATGTGTACGTTGTCACCGATGTACGTTGTCTTCTTATTATTCTTCCTTCCGACTCAGGATCTGATATTCCAGTTTCGGGTCGCTGTGGTTCAAGACTCCTCCCAGACCAAAACAAAGACTCGGACCCGGTTCTCCAACGTCTCCTGTAGCTCCCGGGACGTGCCTGGCAAAAGAACACGTTGTTTACCACCGTCCACCACAGCGACTAGAGCTATCTGCACGTTCCACACAGTTCACTGACATAGACACGCCCCCAGGCCTGCTGCTGCCTTCACTGCTGTCGGATACAGGATACGCCATAAACGGAGGCGTCGTCTGTATTCACTACCATAAATGTACACTTAATGTGTAACGCTGCAAATATCGAACACACCTACACAAGCTTTTGTACAGTTTATTCAGAAATAAATGGTAATTACAATGCACGAGTCGGTAGTACAGCTACCAAGAATACTACGTCCATTATCTAAATATAACGTGCAGCGATTTGTCATATGTCTGTTTTGACAATTGTAGGATGTGAAGAAGTTAAAACGTTATTCCTATATTATTTCGCGTTCTCTACCGTAAACAATGAAGTACGCTAGGTATAAGAACTTGTTCTTCCTGAGCTTTGCAGTGTGGTAGCGTGGCCGAGTGGTCTAAGGCGCTGGATTTAGGCTCCAGTCATTTCGATGGCGTGGGTTCGAATCCCACCGCTGCCAATAATTTTCCATTTCGTCGGTGTACTTAATGTTGGTTGTACAGACGGAGTATATGTAACAAAATCAGGTCCTTGCGTATTCATTTTCTGTAGCTTACTGTTAATGTCTTCCTGTTTCCATATATAAATTCACAGCCGCCATCTGGTGGCCATATCATTGATATTTTAACTGTTTTCATTAGTGGTTATACTATATATTTCTGTATCTAAAAGAAAATTCTGACGTTTTCATCACATCTCAACACACACACGTTGCTTGTGCCCAGATAGCGCTGCCTAGAAGCATTATTTATTTTCTCTTCCCCACAGTCTAATTGTGCCTCCATAAAACGCTCCATAATTACCAGATCACTGAGGACTTTAATATCCATTAAAAATAAATTGGTTCTTAATTTAACTGTATCGCTGTTTATTATGCTGACATTATCATAAAATATTTATCAATTAATGTTCAAAGTTGTTTTGCAATGTGTTATGTTTTAATGTATTAATATGGCAGAGCTGTGAATTATTTATAGAGCACTTTGCTCCATGAATGAAAGCGCAAGTGTGTAATTTTACGCTAGTTTCTAAAATGAACAGCTGGTGCAAAAAGGTTGGGGATTTAGATTTCTTCAAAAAGTCTCTTTAGTACTACCATATATTGCCATTTTCTAACACTACTGTTGGGTCATTCGTGTAGGTGTATCTAAAAGGACATACCAAGGATTATAACCACAGCATATGGAAAATATTTATTGCAAATGAGAACAAATTTTAAAATGTAAATTGTGCAATTTTCACAATTGGATCACTCCAGTTATCAAATCTAAATCCTAGACTTCAAATTGTAAACATTCCATTTTAGGAAGATCTATTGTTTTTCTTTAAAAGCTGAGAAGTAACAAAATGCATCTTCTGGACGGCCAGCTGAGTATCTTCATATGATATCCCAAGATGCCACACGGCCCGAACTGAGTTTCCAAAATGAGGATACATTAGAACTCTTATCTCTTGTCCCAGTTCAGCTTCCTCTCCTTCACAAACCTGAGCCATGAGTTCACAAAACTCAGAGGGAGTCCAACTTTTCTGTTTTAAACAGAAGCGCAAAATGTTCGTCTCCACGGCCGCCAGGTCTACAGAGAACACTGCAGGCTCACAGTCCAGCAGAGCTGAGGGAGAAAAACCCGTTAAAAACTCATGATAAGGAACAAAGTTAATGATTACATTTTTACAGACAACGTTCCTCACCCTGAGCAAAGGTTTTTGCATTCTGATGATCCTCCTTCAGTCTTCCCACCATGTCCAGTAAAGCTATTTTCCCAGCAGCAGCCAGAACTCCAGCCTGCCTCATCCCCCCACCCAGAGCTTTACGACACCTCAGCGCCTGATCTATAAAGTCACGGGGTCCGGCCAGCATGGTGCCCACAGGGGCCCCCAGTCCCTATGAACACACCATACAGAAAATTGTGAACTCATTTACAAAATAGAATAAGATGATAATCTACTTAATAAAAATGTTAAATATAAAAACAGTTCAGGGTTCTGGGGTTAGAGCTTATATTCTCATTTCTATCTGTCTCTGCCATTATTTGGTTTTTTATTCCCACCTTAGAGAGACACACGCTGACAGTATCTGTGTGCTGCAGGATGGTGGATGGAGCCACTCCCTGGGCCACTGCGGCGTTCATCAACCTGGCTCCGTCCATGTGAACTGACAGACCGTGTCTGTCTGCTAAAGCACGGACCTGCAGGTGGAGAGAAACCAATCAGTCACTGATTGGTTTCTGATGACACTGGGGTTGGCAACCACTGTTCCAGACACACAGACTTACCTCCTGCAAGAAGCTCAGGGGCAGAACGCGTCCTCCCTGGATGTTGTGCGTGTTCTCCACACATATAAGGCGAGAGCGAGGGTAGTGAGGATCTGGGTAACCATGGCGGATCTTTGACTCCAGCTGCTCCAAGTCGAAGGTTCCATCAGGACGTGTGGTAGCTGTGGTGGCGTGAACACCAGCCAGCTGAGCCGACACAAATGCACATCTGACTTCACACAAGTATGGATTCAACAGGAGCCACTGGTGTTCAGTCCTGGCCTTCACTCACCTGTGCACTTCCTCCCTGCTCGTAGATGTGTAAATGAGACAGATCGCCCACAATCATCTCGTCGCCACGCTCACGACAGTGTACCATTACTGCATAATGAAGAGTTTAATCACATTGGTGACCTTTGTAACCCCATCAAAATGGTATTACACTCTTACTGTCAGTCATAGCTCAGCTCACCTGCGATGAGGTTACTCATGGTTCCTGTGGGGACAAACAGCGCGGCCTCCATCCCAAACATATCAGCAGCAATTCTCTGTAGCTCTGCATATAAAAAGTCATGGACTAACAACTGTGAATTAACTGTGGGATCAACTGTTTGACCTCTGTCTCTGTCTCTCGAGCCAGAACTTACAGGATATATAGATACGTTAGTATCTTTAAAAAAAAGTTGTAGTAGTTCTCAAACAGTGACGACATGAATACAGAGTGCATGTGCATGAATGGTCTGTCTGCAGTCCAGATCTGTTATTGTATTGAATGAATACATTATTTAAAAACAAAATAAAATACGTAACAGTATAGTACTGAATTATATGTTACTTTATTATCAGTACTTTTAAACGTGCAAACATTTATTAAGTATCATTGCTGCGTTCGTACCGTTAACTGTCGGGTCCTCTCCCATCACATCGTCCCCAACCTCAGCCTCAGCAATGGCCTGACGCATCGCAGCTCCGGGTTTGGTCACTGTGTCACTGCGGAGGTCCACTACCCGGACATGAGACGCCTTTTTCGGCACGGGGTAGCGGGGCTTCGCTGTTTGGTAGTAACACCGAGTGGAGCTTCGTCCCTGCGACGTTGCTGCATCCAGACCGAAATGTGATTTCCACGAAGCGACTGAGAGACTTGGGCTACCATGGGTGAATAAGGTAAACAATCTACGCGACAATACTGCGTTCAAAGTCATGATACTGTATCGATGGCGGCCGAGAAAGCACAAACTGAATGAAAACACAACATGCTCTACATTGATCTTTTGGATCCTCCAAGGGCGGTTAATGGATTACCTATCAGTGCATGCACACAACAAGTAGAACCTCTAGATGGCGCTGCTATATCAGCGCCAACAATCAGATTGTACAGGAATTAAAAAACCTTTCAGACAACTCCTCTAAAAAGGCAGTTTTATAGTTTATATTGAACACAAAGAATATTCCTTAAATTGTCATCACACAAAAATTTGAATATATATATATATATATCAGTCACCCAGATCACTTCCTCCTGAGAAATTCAGGCAACTGAACGGGCTTGGTTTTCCTTTAGACTTTCCATCTTTTGAGATGCAACAAATTGTATTTTCTGAATGACCAGCTGAGTATCTTCAGCAGATATCCCATGATACCAAACAGCCCTCACCGCATTTCCAACATGAACTATCATCCTAACCTTTATCCTCTGTCCCAGTTGAGCTTCCTCTCCTTCACAAACCTGGGCCATACGTTCACAAAACTCAGAGGGAGTCCAGTGGTTCTGTTTAAGGTAGAAACGCACAATGTTTGTCTCCACAGCTTCCAGGTCTAAAGTGAAGAGGTGAGGGCCACAGTCCAGCAGGGCTGAGGGACAAAGAAGTGAAGGGTTAGGAGCAGAAACATGGCAGCAGAGCAAACATGATGTGGGACAACACTTGAACACTTGAAAGCTGCTCACCCTGAGCAAAGGTTTTCGCATTGTGATGATCCTTTTCCAGTCTGTTCTTCATATTTACTAAAGCCAGTCTTCCTGCCGCTGCCAGTGGACCAACCTGCCACAACACCCCACCCAGAGCCTTACGACACCTCACCGCCCGGGATATGAAGTCTCTGGGTCCTGCCAGGATGTTGCCCACAGGGGCCCCCAGCCCCTGTGGGAAAAATGAATTCTCAATTCACTTTTGTTTCAGAATTTGAATTAAAATATCAGTTGACATCACAAAGTCTCATGCAAGGACATTTTAATAAAAGCAAACTCTATATAGTGTAATATATTTAAAGTTTATGTAAACATATATATTATAGAAAATATAACAAAAAAGCTATTATCTATTATGATAATAAATTATATAAGATCACATCTTTAATATATACAGCACAAGTGTAAATGTAATTTTACACAATAAAAACATCTACAAAAACAAAAATTTCATTTTTTATTTGTAATATTTTGTAGTGTAATATATATTTTACTCGCACACACATATATGTATGAAATATAAACAAAAATATAGAACAAATTGTGCACAGGTTGAACAAAAAGGATTGCAAAGTCTCAAACAGGTCGTTTTTGTAACCTGAAGAAAAGAGATGTGCAGCATGGGAGGATTGGTTTAAAGTCAGCATGTATTTCACTCCCACCTTATTCAGAGACACACTGACTGTGTGCACATACTGCAGGATGGTGGATGGAGCCACTCCCTGGGCCACTGCAGCGTTCATCAACCTGGCTCCGTCCATGTGAACTGACAGACCGTGTCTGTCTGCCAAGGCTCGAAGCTAAGAAATGCAGATGAAATGAATGAGAAACTATCCAATCAGGAGGAGTCCTTAAAGCTATGAAATATGTATTCAATTAAGTTTGGACTATGAATAATACAAAAGGTATACACATTCTATGGACATTTTCCTTCCACATCCTGTTTTTTATTCACAAATTTCACTGTCCTTACAGAGAAGATTGTTACGTGAAGACGAAGCAGGACACAAATACAGCACGAGGGAGAATCCCTTCAGGTGCAGCAAGTGGAAAAGAACACAAACTCACAGGAACACAAACATCAACTACCGGACGTCCCCTGTAGTCTGTAGTCTTATCCACAACCACTGATGAGATGGTGGCACAGGTGAATGTGATCACACTCACGCCAACCAGCAGGAAGGAGAAACAAACAGCCCTAAAGATAAAAGGCAGACACACACACCTCCTGCAGGAAATCCAAGGGCAGCACACGTCCTCCCCGGATGTTGTGTGTGTTCTCCACACATATGAGGCGAGTATGACAGAAAACTGGCTTCGGGTAAAACAGGCGTACCCTGGACTCCAGCTGCTCTAAGTCAAATGTTCCGTCAGGTAGTGTAGTTACTGTGGTGGTGTGGACTCCAGCCAGCTGAACAAAACGCAGAAACACACCATAGGATCTCACAGGCAGAAAACAATTATTTATAACAGGCGTTCACCCATGGGCTTCACTCACCTGTGCGCTTCCTCCCTGCTCGTAGATGTGTAAATGAGACAAGTCACCCACGATCATCTCGTCGCCCCGTTCTGGACAGTGGACCATTACTGCACAGCAAAAACAACAACAAAAACAAACAAACAAACAAACAGTACACTGGTCACATTTTTGAACTCATTACAGTGGACTCGGACTTGGACTCTGCCGGTGGAACATCAGCTCACCTGCGATGAGGTTACTCATGGTTCCTGTGGGGACAAACAGGGCCGCCTCCATTCCTAACATTTCAGCTGCAAAATTCTGTAAATCTGCAAAAAAAAAAAGGATAGATATTGATGAAAATCTCTGTTTTTTTGGACTGAGCAAAATTTATTAAAAAGTTTTAAAAAAAAATTGCAAGTTATGCCTGCCACAGACCTTAAATATTTACACTATTAGTCAATGACAAATCGGTGCTGTAGGCAGTCATGCTAATCTAATGTCTATAAAGACTTTTGTAACAGGATGAAGATCACACTGAGCTCTTAACAAAAGACTCCTTCTCCAGCAAGGCGGGTATCTCAAATGGTGTCTTTACTGTAGAGCCTTCTGCATCACTTAATTTCAAGTATTACAAGTACCAGTATGTCACTTACACCACAGCAACTGATTCCTCCTTTGAAGTGTAACCTGTCTTCAAACCTTTTGCCTCTGTCATTTGACATGGTCTTATGTTTTATTTGTGAACATAAAACAATGTAGTAAGTATATAATATAATTGTGTCCTCAGGATAGGATCACATTTGCAATACAAGTTATTAGTTAAAATTATCATAAATAATAATAATAATAATAAATTATATAGTTATTTGCAAACTTGTGACACAGCCCGTCCTGATGATGCCCTCCTTCAGCTGCAGGACTGCTTGACCCTGCACGGAGTGGCGCATCTTTGAACATCAGGACCTGGACAGACACACACCGAGTCTGTCCTCTTCTACATCAAGTACTGTGTAGAAAATGTCATTGAGAAGCAACGCATCTGGGTCTTTCCAAACAGAAACCCCTGGATGACAAGCAAAGTCCAGACCAGACCAACTGGCAGGGATCCTCACCACCCTCTTTAACCTCTACCTGAGACATGCCACCGTCCCCACATGTCTGAAGGCTTCCACCATCGTCCCCATCCCCCCAAAAATAGACAGCCATAGACAGCCTAAATGACTTCAGACATCAGGGCGATGGGTCTGTAGTCATTTAGACAGTGTTTGGAGTGATCAGTCTCCTAGCACATCAGAGACTGCCTTCCCCCCTCCTTCGACCCCCACCAGTTTGCCTACAGAGCAAACAGGTCTACAGAGGATGCCATCGCCCTCACACTCCACACAATAAGCTACGTGAGGATGCTCTACGTGGACTACAGCTCGGCTTTCAACACGATCATCCCAGACATTATCTTCACCAAACTCCTGCAACTACAGATTCCACTCCCCACCTGTATCTGGGTCACAAACATCAATCCATCCATTTCCATCCGCTTATCTGTTACCGGGTCGCGGGGGCAGCAGTCTCCATGACCGCCACCCAAATCACACTGCACCGTACCAACCCCCCTGAACCTTCCTGAGGGTGGTGAGTCCACCCAACCAAGAGGTACCAACCACCCTAACAGGGAGGTGAATCCTGGGGTTCCACACCAATGACAGGGACATTGCCATTGAATAAATCTCCACATCCTGCTGCCTCAGAAAGCCAAGGCCATCACATCTGACCCCTCACACCCCGCCCACCCCCTGTTTGACCTGTTACCCTCTGAGAGACGCTACAGGTCAATCAAGTCCCACACCACCAGACTGACAAACAGCTTCTTCCCTGGGCCATCTGCACTGTTTACACCCACGAACCCACACACACTCACCCATCCACAACACCCACCCCTCCAACAGCTCCAGAGCCATATTCTTGCCTCGCAGGGGGGCTTTCATTCATCATTTCATTCAATTCAATTTTATTTATAGAGCGCATTTCTTGTACAAAGCAAACTCAATGTGCTTAACAGTCATCACGTAATGAAATACGTGAAAGTTATCAAGAAATGCACTGGTCCCTCTCCTATTGCGGTAGTTGCGTTTCAAGACCCACCGCGAAATGGGAAAATTCGCGAAGTGGAGTCGAGATAGTTATTATATGATTTACGTTCCTCCCCACACTGTTATCAACAGTCGAACAACAACAACAGTGCCATCATGTGTCCAATTGAGATACCCTACATTAATTAAAAGCTCACCATATGGACAGTACATATATCTTAGATTTCCAAACGTTTTCGTTTACTTAAATACTGTGTTTCCCTTGTAGGCTAGAAAAATGAAAATATTGGAAATTAAAACATTTTTAATGTTTAAAGATTGGATTAAAAGATCCGCGATGTACTGAGGGACCACAGTACTGCGCGAAAGTAGAACCGCGATATAGAGAGGGACCACTGTAAGGTGAAAGTTATCACGTAATAACGTGAAACCTATCACGTAATAACGTAAAACGTATCACGTAATTTTTTCTCTGTGTGGCAGCAATAAGCTTCCATACCGGGTGCAGCTTTGGTGAGTATCAGAAACTCGTTCCACATCAGTGAGTTAGAAAAGCAATAGAAATGTTGCCAGACTGTGCTGAGGTCTACTGTATGAGATTAGGTGTGTGAAATGCTTTAACAGTTGATGCTAAACTGTGATAGTCAGAAACATACACCTGATCACACCTCATCTCTTACCGTTGACCTCTGGGTCTTCATCCAGAATGTCACTGCGTTCCAAAGCCTCCATCATGACCTCTCGCATTTCAAGACTAGGCTTTGTAGCAATGTCAGAGCGGAGGTCCACCACCCGGTTCCAGGTGCCTGGGATTTGCGAGCTGGCAGTAGCTGCGTCCCCATCTAAGCCAGGCTGTCCCTGCTGCTGCATCTGGTTTTCAGGCAAACAATTTTCAATTTAACACCTTGAACAGAGTCCTGAATAAATACGTTTCCACAGAGGGTAACTTAAATTGGTCGGATGAAATAACTGCCATTGTGGTTTCAGACAAGTTTTAAACATTGAAGTCCAGAGATAAATGCTTTGCTCATCCAAAACATCAGCCTAACTATAAGGTCTATAATAGGATTCAGCACTAGTTACCTAGTGACCAAGAGAATTACATGGCAAAACCAAAGGCATCAGAAGGATCAACATTAACAATCTGCTAACAGCATTTTTACCATTACATACCTTACATTCAAGAAGTGCCACAAAGCTGTCTAGTTCAGAAATGTAATAACCTATACATGAATCTAAAAAGAGGACAGCACAAAAAACAGTTTCCTCACGTGTAAATAAATGTCGTTCTAACCTAAGAAGTCCAGGAAAAAACTAAACACCTGTAAGTGTGAGAGGTTTCTTCTTCTAGCTCAGAACCATCACAACCCAGACTTTAAATATGTAAAAAGGCTCTGACATGGGAAGGAACAAATACCTTCAACAAACACAATATTGCGACAAGCAAAGAGATAAATTAACCGGTAAACAGATGAACCATGCACTCCCTACAGCTGTGTTCTCTACCAACATGCTGCAGGGACTGTTTGAAGTAAATAAGTTAGTACTTTTTTTCATGACTGTTGGAAGTACATCAAAACTGAAAACCTGTGTCTAACGTTTACTTCAGTTTCTGAATCACTGGTTAAAGAAGCATGTAGTCATGGAAACAGACAGACAGACAGACAGACAGACAGAGAGACAGACAGACAGAAAGACAGACAGACAGAGAGACAGACAGACAGAGAGACAGAGGACAGAAAGACAGACAGACAGACAGAGAGACAGACAGAATAACCAAAAATAATAAAACCAGCACTTTTATGGATAAGAAAGCCAAAAGCCAAGTCCTGCAGCTGAAGGAGAGCATCATCAGGACAGGCTTTGTCACAAGTTTGCAAATGTGATCCTATCCTGCGGCCAAACCAAAGTAACCAAGACATTTTGGTTAAACCCTCCATTAACATATGAGATGTTAGCAGAAAGCAACCAACCCACCCCCCACCCTCATGATCCACCACACGACAAGTCAGGCTTAATCCAAACAAACATTTGGCTTGCGTGTTTTGCTTGATTTTAAACACAGCACACCTTATCACCAAACTCCAGTCACTACACCAGATGCTAGGCTTACGTTTGACAGGAAATCCCTGCGGCTAACAGCTCAAGCCATTTCTGTATTTTCATATAACACTGTTTGTAAAAGCCAGCAAGATTCATTATGTAGTTAACAAAGCGTGAACCTCACTGTGTGTCTGTCTGTAGGACTGATCAATGAAGTCCAAATCCCTGATTTTCAAATATTGGTCTTGGTCTGTTCACAATTTCTATCCTGTATCTAATACACTGGCAAGGATATTTGAAAAAATTTAATTACAGCTCCACATGTAGTGATTCCCGCTGCAGTGTGTATTCAGTCATAGTAAGAGTGAGCAGACAGGAAACGACTACATGTCCACAGCTGCCTCCCTTAAGTGTACAAGGAAGAGGGCGACATCTATTGGCAAGGTTAGTACAAGTCACCTGTGCTTTTCACAGTGATCTGTAGGAGCATACAGTTTCACTTTAGTCACCAGATTATGTATAAATATAAAAAGTAAACCCCTACAGAACTCTAAAGCCCAATATGTTTGTGTGTGTGTGTGTGTTTTATTCAATTTAAATTAAATCCATATTTTTTATGAATAATACCTCCACGGTAACAACGGGACAATTCTCTCTGTGTTGCCGTCCTCTTCAGAAACAGCAGAGAACTTGGATTTCTGGGAGTGGCAGCAGACACTAACATAACCCTACATAACGAACTAAAATAATTTCAGCTGACACCTCTGCTCTGTTCAAGTATGTGGGCTGCATGGATGAGATATGAAAACATCTCTGAGAAACCAAAGCCAGGTCAGCTGTTCTCTTCTGAACCTCTTGATATTTACTGACCAGCACAGCTGAGACCACTCACAGGCCCCCCATGGAGTAGTCATAAAAATAGCAAATATTCCAAGCTGTAGATAAATTACATGAGTACTGAATACTTTACTGAGGGCTTTACTTCGCAACACCAACCTGCAATAGATTGAGCTTGGTCCATTTGTTATGTACAGTCAATAGACCCTGCACAAGTTACTGCGCAGCCCACTCAAATCCAACCATCCAACTTTTCACAGATACAGGTCGCCTGTCCCACTGCAGGATCTCCCCTTTGGAGTCTCTGTGACAGGTGGTGCTGGAAACATCATAACTAGGTCAGTGTGCCATGAGCACAGTGTGGTTCAACCTTGGGGTTCCTCAAGACAAAGAGACCTTTTTTTATTCTTGTAGATAAAGGTTTGTGGGACTTGGACTTTACTAATGACAGAGAGGTGTACCTGCTACCAAACAGCTCCTGACACACGCACACTGACGGTGTCTTGTCTGATTTAATTACTGTCCCAGTGTGTTACCAGTGTTGATAATTCAGTCGATTTTGTAGGTAACAAAATGCAAACATCAACATGATAAAAGAAGAAGGCCACAGTCAGTCTCCAGAGCCCTGACCAGCTGTGGACTGAGAGGTGAAGGTGCACTGGTGAGCAAGAAAGAGAGGGAGGGAGTCAGAGAGGGAGAGGGAGAGGGAGAGAGAGAGACATCCTGAGCAGGAGTTTTTCCGGGATCACTGCTGGCACTCCAGGCTGTAACCTCACACTTTTGTGTGTGTATGAGTGAGAGAGACAGAGAGAGAGACAGGGGGGGGTCTCTCTCTCTCTCTCTCTCTGTGTTTTCAGAGAAACAGAAAGAGAGATGGGGGGAAAGAACGACAGAGAGAGGGACAGAAAGAAAGAGAGAGAGAGAGAGAGAGAGAGGTGCTCTATCTGCTCTGCTTCTAGCATTCCTTGCTGGTGTCCATGGATAGCCAGAGTGGTGTTTTGGAGAAAATATTGGATTAGAGAAAAAGAGGCAGAGAGGGAGAAATGAAGGAGAAGGAGAAATATTGACTTCTTCTGGGAAGGAGCGAGACGGCAACGCCTTTCCAATAACCATAAACCCTCTGGGCTGAAAATAGACGGGCCGAATGAATAAACGAATGTGTTCATCCCACATGAGCTCTTCTCTTTCACAGAGGGAATGGAGGTGACCCCGCCTTC